ACCGGAGGCTGAGGGTGCAGAGGACATGATGCCTTGGATTTGAAGGGCCTTGACAGTCAGAAAGGCAGGCTCCTGAGGCCCCTTCTTGTCACTTAGCACTACTTCACAGGCCATGGCCTGTCCTAAAGCCTCAGAAATGTGACACCAATCAATATGGTCACATTCTACTTGATACTTTCCTGTTAGATCTGAGCTTTCCACTGCCAGGTTCTTCCCACAGTGATTGCACTATATCTGAGAACAGGTATGTAATTAAAGTAACAAGGACTTAGTCTCTACCCTTGCTCTAAAAGTTGGCATCTTATTCAGAAAAAGCAAAACCCATTCATTTCATTCATAATCCTCTCACCAGTAACTAGCAAGCTCATATTGCACCTCTCCTGCTCAGTGCAGTGTCTGAAAAGTCCCTCTCTTCCTAATTCCCCAAAACCATCATCAGTTATTTTAAATCTTGTCATATTAATATGTTTAACTACATACACACATACAGCACCAAAGGAAAATCTTTACTGATTGCTAAATGGACAAGTTATTAATATGGCTTAGAAAAAAAATTAACATGAATAAGCAAAAAGGTTATTTTAATAGAGGTTGTTGTCAGGACTTATATAGCCTCTTTATCTCTTACTAGACATAAGATGTTTTTAATTTCATAGAATTTTAAAACTATAAGTTGTAAGACATTCCAAATTTAGGGAAAAATGGAAAATCTAAAGATGAACTTTTCCATAATTTATTTCTATCATTTTAAGGTCACAAATATCATATTTTCTTTATTCTCCATTAGTCTCATTTCTAGCTTCCAGAGGCTGTGCTATTTACATAGTTGTAATCTAAAGTTTATTTTCTAATTTACTTCCAAGATCATAAATACAGTCCTTAAAATGCTTCACTGACTTAACTAGATAAGATACAAATGTATTCTTACCAGGAGAGAGACTTCTTTTAAAAGAAACCCTCTATGAAAGATGTTCTGCATTAATAGCTTAAAATTTTTCAATTTATTCACTCAACTGGATGTAGATTATCATAAACTGAACCTCATATTTTTATATAGATCACTTGGTGCATAAACAGAGAAGGCGAGGGCCAAGTGACAACTGCAATGTGCAACTGACTCAAAGTAGCACATTTGGGTCCAACTTGAGAAATCCATCAGATTAGAACTTGGCTGTAAAGGAAGCCCTGGAGAATGGGTACATTGTGAAGCTGTTGGCATTCTTGTAAATTAGCTAATAAAAGTGAAAGGCAAATATTTTAGCCAGTTGATGACTGGCCTATTTTTAAATTTAGAATCGTAAGCAGGACAAGGGACTGTTTATAATCGGCCAAAATCACAGAAGTGATTAAGATGTGCTTGGAAATAAATCAGGGATTTTGGAAGTCCCCAAGCATCCCTACTAGTGTACTACACACTGACATACCAAATACTCTATTAGATGAATAGACTTCACACAACTCCTAACTCTAACCTACTCCTGGAGACCTAGTGACTATGATGTTAAGCTCTGGCCCCAAGAAGCGCTTTTGGGCTTACAGAATCCCAACAGGCAGGTTAACGTGGGTGTTTTAAGAAGGAGATTACCTGACGGTGTGTGCACCTTTAAAGTACTGACTACTGAGAAGTTACATGGGAGAGAATGTTGGTTTTCTGGGCCCCATCAGAGGAACTTTTCTCTTTTCTCAGCTCTTCATTAACCTCCACACCCTTCAGGGAGTTGAGGCCCCAGCTCTGTACTGCCTATCCATGGGAGTTCTGGACAATCATTTAATCCCTGCGACCTTGGTTTGTTGTTGGAGTTTTGTTTTTAAATCTGTAAAACAAGAGGGCAGGAAAGGGATGCTTAACTTGATGACCCCTAAGTTTGGGGTCTCATCTAGTTTGGAATGTCTTATCTTTTTCTTGGGATTTCCTAAGTAATACCACCAGCACAATGGAGCCCTCTTAGTTGTGCTAAGAGGTTGCCAACTCTTTAGATTGGATTCCCCAAATAAAGCAGACCCAAGTGATTCAAGAATGATGATTCAAAGGCTGGATTTAGTATCTGTACTGCCCCAAAACAGATAAATAAGCTCCTCAGTCTAGAATATGCTAAACACAGCTGAAAAAAAATCTGATGGCAAAAAATTACTTTTCCTCCTAAGTGCCCTAAAGATACCAGACCAGTAGGTATGGGACATACTTATTTCTTCAAAAGAAAAACTAGCCGTCTGTTGTGGCCCAGTTGGCATCATCCTGCAAAGTGACAGATCAATTCCTGGTCAGGGCACAGGCCTGGGTTGCGTGTCCAGTCCCCAGAAGGGGCACAACCAATCGATGGTTTTCACGCACATCAATGTTTCTCTCTCTTTCTTCCTCCCTTCCTGTCTCTAAAAATAAACATTTTTAAAAAAAGAAAACTAAATGGCCATTGCCACCCATACGCATCTAAGGATGCGCTTGGAAATTCTGCAATGGCAGCATTATCACTTTGCAAGGAACCAAAACATTACAGACCTGTTGGAATTTACCTGATTTCCTTTACTCAGTTCAAACCAGAATACAAAAGGGTTATCTTTAATACCACAGTTAAAGGTCCTCACAAACAGTATTAGTCTCATCAAACAAGGCTTTTGAATTCCATCAAATTGTGGGATTCAACATGCATCAAGTAGGCTCCCACATTTAAAAAGCAAAAAATTCTGGCAGCAAACCTTATTAGAGGCAGTGGGTCAGCTGAGGAGTCACCCCCTTTCCCCATTTTGCTGTGTTGCATTTCATCATCCTTGGCAGCCCTGGGTTAAGCAGATGGTACGTCCCCAACTCACTCCTTCCACTAGGAACTTACCTTACAGGTGAAATGTTGGTGTTGCCAGATTTATCTTCCCCTGAGAAGATGCTGGCCATTTACTAGTTTGAAAAAAGTGCACCCTTTACCTCATCTCCTCAATTTCCCAGAGGTTTCCAAAACTGACAGCACATCAGAGTGACCCATGTAAAGCTTTTAAAACCCAGATAGGGCAGGGAGGGACATCACTAAAGGAGAGGACAACGTGATCGTGGAAGTATAGACTGGAATGAGGCGGCCACAAGCTAAAGACTGCCAACAGCCGCCAGCAGCAAAAAGAGGGAAGGAGCAGATTCTTCCCCGGGGACTTCAGAGAGAACCAGGAACCTAATTTTAGCCCAGTGAAACTGATTTTGAGCTTCTGACCTCAAAAACTGTTAAGAGGACAAACTTATATTGTCTTAAATCGCTGAATCTGTGGTTATTTACCACAGCAGACATTGAAAGAGATGTCACTAACGTGGTATCTCAACAACCAGAATGCAATATCTTCATTCTTCACTTGTTTTATAAAATGATACTCAAAAAACAAAAAGCACCAAATATTTAATGTAGTTTAAATATTACCCAAATTAAGGCAAGCATAATCTCTCTATATATACACTTGGTTTTAAAGAGACATTTTTTAGGACAACTAGGAATTCACCCACAAAAAGAAAAAAATTATCGAATGACTGGAATTAGGTGAAGGGATATCTCATTTGCTAGTGCAATAATGACCATCCCCACTGTTTCTTCCTCTCCAGGGTTCCCTTGTTCCTTTGCTTCCCCTCGGTCAGTCTCATCTCTGAAGAGAGTGGGGGAAAAATACAAGGATAGAATCCTATGGTTTCTACTGGATTCAACCTCTTTCAGAACAAGGTATATAGCATTTTTTTTTAAATTAACATTTTCTTTTAGATGCTAAGGAAAACTAAAATATTAAAATCAGCAAATGTAAATGAGGAAAATTTTTTTAACCCTATTTTATGAGAATGTTCCTTTGACAGTTTCAAAAAAAGGCAGAACATCCCATAACCTGCAACTAGTTTTTAAGTAAAAATTTCTCTTTGTTATACGAGATACAGATGGATCTCATGAGGTCTACCCAAAATAAAGAGGAAAATATGCTATTTATGGAATTATAAACTTTTTACCAAGGTTTATAGCAGAAATCAGATCAGGATATAATACTAATTTCATTTTTTTAAAAATGAATCTTACTTTTGAATCTCTTACTTTTGCATATCAATATATCTTAATTTTGAATGTTGATGCTCTAATTAATCCTAGAATCAATATCACTTGACATACAATTTTCATGCATGTCATTTCAGGATGTCAATTATATTTTTTGTGGAAATATGTTATTACAAAAATTTAGTATTTAATTACATTACATTCTCAGCCCACATAAAATATCCTATAAAATATGCATCCCAAATGTTAAAGAGTAAGGCTCCTAAATGAATCTTTTAGATAAGTAATATAACCCTCTTGTATAGCAATTTTCAACCTTTTTCATCTCATAGCACATGTAAACTAATTATTACAACTCTGAAGCACGCCAAAAAATTTATCTTTTGCCGCTCTGACAAAAAAGGGGGTATAATTTTGATTCACTCGCTCGAGATGGCCATTGTGTTGGCTGTTGTCATTTTTTATTTGACAATTCAAGGGAAAAGAGGCCAGTACCCCTGGCTATATAGTCAGATATTGCATATTTTAAAAAATCTTGAGGCATACAACTTGAAAATCACTGCTCTAGTAGATTTTTTTGGTATTATCTGGCTTTACAGTGTACTTTCCTAATAATGCATATTTTTTTCAGAAAACACATTTAGATGTTTTGACCATCTCAAATAACCTGCTAAATGTGTTGTACAAATACATCTGTAGTGTCTGCTTAATTAACAAATAAGCTACATTCAAGGAATGAAAACTACTTTTACTGAAACACTGGCATAGCATGGAATGACTATACCAAGAAACCTTTAGCACACCTGAAAAGTATGCAAAAACAAAGAATGTAAAACGTAGAACTGTGCAAATAAAATTATAGGAACCTTCAGGCAAAAACTCATCATCCTATAGTGAATAGAGCAAAGTACACAGGAACAAGTAATTTATTCTATAATAAATTTGGCATTAGTCAGTAAATATTTTAAATTTTATTTATTGATTTTTAGAGAGAGAGAGGAAGAGAGACAGAGAGAGAGAATCATCACTTTTGTTATTCTACTTATAAGCATTCATTGGTTGTTTCTTGCATGTGCCCTGACTGGAGATGGAACCTGCAACCTTGGCGTTTTGGGACAAGACTCTAATCAACTGAGTTAGCTGACCAGGGCTGTAAATGTGTTTAAACCATAATACAGTCCTTGCTAACAATGTAATCATGGATTTTTAATGTTATTCTGATAGTAAAAAAGTGCTAACTCATTAAGAAGTTAATTAAGAAACTGTCCTAAAAATGCAAATTTGACCAAGTCAGAGAAAACATACACACAAAAGAACTAGGATATACCTTTGAGAACATAAATTATTGTTAGCTACTTCCCCAGATATGATAGAACGAAAAGAGCGAATTGAATATGTGGTCAAAACAATTTTCTGCAAAGAAAATTTTAACTTTTGGAGCTGTATTGTATAAACAATTCAAACAAAAAGTGGAGCTTAACTTCCTGACCACGCAGAACTATGTTTTCTCTTCCCCTCTTCCTAGAACACTTATTTAAAAATCAGTGGTTTGCCAGGGTTGTTAAATTTTTTCAATACCACTTAGGTACATACATGTATATTTGCAAAAGTCTGTAATTAGCATTAAGCAAAAACAGTAACTGTTCCATTTTGGTCTATCTAGTATAGTGAGTCAACTTCACATGCAATGAGTATAAAGGAGATGTCAATATGAATACAAAAGCAAGACTAAAACTGATGTTTCATTTTGGGGTTTTTGTTTGTTTGTGTTTACTCAATAATCAATTCCAAACACAGCACAGGGAAGATGGAATAAGAAAAAAAAATTTATTTCCCCATTAACACTAAGCCATATTATTCAAAATGTGTTTCAAAATACTTAGCTAGATTGCCAATCCCAGCCATTGCAACAGAAATCCATTGAGTCACCATCTAGACACAGGGGTGTCCAACCTTTTGGCATCTCTGGGCCACACTGGAGGATGATGAGTTGTCTTGGGCCACACGTTAAATACACAAACACTAACGAAAATTGATGAGCAAAAAAAAGGTCCGTGCATAACTTCTGTCATATCCACCACCAAAGATAAGCAAAAAGTCCTCACATAATAACCCTAATTATGCAGCAGCCCTTTAGTTTCCTTTAAAATCGTCGAGCAAGTCCCAAGTTTGTGATTAATACAGAAAATGTCCATATCTATGTAATAAAATTTAGTATAAAACTTAGTAATAAAACTAAGCAATGTTTTAACTAAATTTACGATTTTGTGTTGGGCCACGTTCACAGCCATCCTGGGCCACAGGTTAGACACCCCTGATAGAGAGAACAGCTACATTGCTATATATAATTTATTAACTTAGTAGTTTAGTCTCTCAGTATTTAGCAAGTTTGTGTAAAAATTAATATTCCCATTGGCTTATAGTGACTTTAATATAAATGTATAATTTCAAAGTCAACATTCCTTTCACTATAACCATAAAACTTCTTAAAAGATAGTTGTGGGTTGTGGTAAATTAATGACTGGCTGCTAGAACAGCACTGTTCCAAAATCAGATATACTGGTAGGGTTAGAAATAATACATATACATACTCTCAGTATGCTACTATTTCCAAAATTTTTGCTGTACATATTTGTCTCATTATATGATATAAAATATATCCTCAAATTTGAAAACAAATCAAGTAAGATGAATACATTCGCATCTTCATTTCAAAATAATCATTTTAAATGGGAAAAAAAATGTTCCCTGTGTTTGTTAAATCTGTTCATGAGATGGATTTATGTATTTTCTTTGCTACATATACAATTTTTTAGCCTTAGTGCCTCATTACAATCAGTTTAGCAATCAGACCTCCAGTGCTTTGTTAAAACCTGCATTCAGTAAATTGTAAGACTGTAAAATCTGCAGTTGAATCCTTGTTAAGACACAAAATCCAAAAACTGTATGACTATTCATCAACACCCTGGGAATCTGTATATAATTGCAAAAAAAATTACGTGCATATAATTCAAACATACACTTTGCAGGGTAGGGTGATAAAAATAAATACTACAATATTTTTCAACTTGATTTAAATGCTGCATTGATGGTCAGAGTAATATTAGTAACAGAGAAAATCAAACTATTTAAAAAACTGTTTTCCAAGTAGTTAGAACAATTTTGCAAAACAAAGATAAGCAAGAGCCTGTGCCAATACATTTTTCCTGTAGTGTAATTGCCAACATGAGGTATAATTTGTAAGCAATTAATACAATATAAATAGGTATAAGCCACCCCTAAATCACAGTCTGGTGAAAAGCTTCTCATCTAATGCAGTCTAGTGTGGAGGGGGAATGGGTATTAAGAGACATGAGGAGAAGGGAAGGACAGGGTAGGTTTCCAGTGGGAGCATCATTTATGCACCTTATCATTATCACCATCTTGTATGTAACAGTCCACTGTTGCAAAAAGGTAAATCCTTTCCAAGTATGTGGGTCCAGAATATACTTTATGTAGTATTAAGATTATTTCACTAATACTAATGCTTCATTTGATTTATATTTGGATATACACATAATCATAAATGTGTATCAAAAACTATAAACAGAATTTTAAAACTTTTATTTCGTTTTTGAAAAGTTAATAGCTAAAACTAAACTATGTACTACAGAATTTTCTAGACTATCTAAACTCAGGGGTAAAACTAAAGGAAAACGTTACTATTTAGCAAATGGCTTGTGCGAAACCTCAAGCTCACTCATCTTTTTTATAGATGGGTTTATTGATGAGGATTATGATCCAATGATTGTTTAGCAGCAATTTTACCAAACTGTAAATTCTTTTATTAACAGGCATTATAAACAGATAATACTAATCTTATTTAAAAACCATGAGTGCCACACCGGTGAATATACAGCTCATGAATAACTTAAAAAGTTTTTCCCACTTTAAAAGGCAACACTCAGCATACAAAAACCTATATACTAAACAAAGGGGCTCTAATACGGATACATGATTGACATATCTAAAATGATATATATATATATACAGTACATAATGAATGTTAATTTTATGCTCAGTACATTTTTTCTATATGATTCCCTTCATGCTTCACTTTCCCCAGAAACTGAATTCTGAACTTCCTCTTCTAAAATTGGTACAATCAGGTTATCCTTGGACATCAAATTGTATTTCATCACAAATTTAGTAAACCGATGACACAAAAATGTTTCATTCTGTAGAGAAGAAAAAAATGTTATTTTAATGTACTATCGTAAACCAAAAAAAAAAAAAAAAGACATAATATCAGCATATATTATTGTCATTCTGATAAGAATGCATCAGGATAACTATTAAAATATACTTACTTCATATTCATCAAATATCTGCCGATGATGAAAATAAGCATGTGAAAATATTCTGTAAATCCTACGGCATACTGATCCTAGTTTTGCTACTGATGATTCCTTTATGCTAACCCTAGAAACAGAAATCACAGATTCACAGAGCTGGACAGATCTTAGGAACACTATATTCTAATCTTCTCAATTCACAAGTGTGGAAACAGACATCTAAGAAAAGTAACTTTTCAGTCCAAGGTCAAAGTACTAGTAAGAGGCAAGAGCAGGCCTAGAACCCCTGTTCACTCGTGGGCCGCTGCTCCTTCTATGTAACCACAGTGCCTAAAAAATTCAGCACCGTAGTTTTGAAATGTTGTAGTTTAATGCATTGAAAATAAATCCTGACAAATCAAACTTACTAAGCCATACACATACATTAATACTTTGTTCTCTAGAGGTAACTAAAGCTACTAAAAGGAATTAGTTTTATTCCACAGAACTTTTTTTTTAGAAATAAAAATTGCCTGTATATTTCTGATATTCTTTGTTAAAAAACTGTATACAGGATACTGAGGCAAAATCCAGTATTTTTAACATATTTAATATGAGCTCTTTAGAGTTAATGATATTTGGGGGAGGCCGAGAGAATAAAATTTCCAAAGTGATTCACCAGATAACAAATATCTTTATAGAATAAAAGACCAGTCACAGACCTCACCAATAACATATTACATTATACAGAGGCTTCTTCCCACATCCTCTTTGATGAGGATTGTGATAGGCAAGAATAAGGAATCCTTCAAAAACAAACAGTCCAACTAAGTGAAGTCTGCTCTTTAGTCTGTATAAAAGGAGGCTGACTCGATCACAGAGGTCTCATCAAGTAAGCAAGGGTCTAAGTATCCCAACTCTAACGCATCAAAGAGAGAGCCCTGGACAATGACACACAGCAGCAGGGACTACCCTTGACTCAACTGGCCTATGAGCTTTGGGAGCTAAGTACTGCTAACTTTAGTTTAACCATATCCCTAATTTCAAAGTGTGGATTAAAAAAAAAAGAAAGTTTAAAGAATACAATGCATTTACCGGCAGCCTAGTTTTGGTTTTATAAACAACAATCTTTTTAATCAACCCAAAAAGTTTAATACCATGTTTAAAAGTTTTGTTTACCTGCTAGGAAAATATTTATTGCTATTCAGAAGACATGCAGCACCGTCAAGTGTGTGTCTGGTATAGTCTATAGCAGGACACTATAAAAGAAAGAATAAAAAAATGCATCAGAAAAAGAGCTCTACCTCTTAGGTTAGGTGTTTTTATTATATATATGTCTTATTCCAAAAACCTGAGTATATTCTAAGAAAAAAATCACCTTACAATATCAGAATGACTAAAATTCAACATTACATCAGTAAATAAGGCTTTATTATCCCCATAAACTATAGTAGACCTCTAGAAGAAGTCTTTTAATTTCTCACTCCCAAAACTGTACCTAGAAGAAAACATATAGAGCTGGAAAGAACACCCGGTTATCTAATCTCACCCTTTGACTTTACAAATGAGGAAACTGAAGCTGGTCAGTTTGCAGAGTATGCACAGGCTTCTTCCAGGTCTTAAAGTTATCTGTAGGCAGGATAAGGACTCTTTCAAAATAAGCAATCCAGCTTAGAAAAGATCACTGAGATTCAAGTAAGCAAGCAAGCATGTAAATAACCCAACTCTAAAGCACGAGACAGTGCTGGGATGACACACAGCAGCAGAGATCATCAATGGCTTGGGGAAGATCATACAGTTAGGAAAGGACTCAAAAACATGTTCCTAGTAGGAATAAACTGACTCCTGGTCCACTGATTTATACTTTACCAAGAGGCCCAGAAGCCCCCTATTCTTCACAAATATCTTGAGGGAGCACTGTCTTCTAACATCCTAGAAAACATGCTTTACTATGTGCCTGTTATCCTAGCAGCTCCCTCAGTAATTTTCTCCTTGAACCTCCTTTGAAATTTAACATGAAATTTATATCTTTATATTTTAATAAACTTGTCTTATCCTATTCTATTTATCAGAAACAATGAAACCTATTGTCTCATAGCAAATCAGCAAACCTATAAAGGAAAAATAAAACTACAAAGTAATCTTCTCACTCAGTTCTTTTGAGAGCTGATAAGGAAAAGGACCAAAGAAAAGGAACAGTGAGGATGAACCAGTCCATCTACTTGAAGGAAAAAAAAAGCTAGATAAAAGAATAACATTGATTCTAACTCTACTCAGTAATTGGAATACTTTTCAAGTGCTAAGGTTGAAGGTAGCAATTAGAAAGGTAAAATAATAACTACTAAACAAGGATTATAATGCCATGGCAAATGTATAAAGATTATCTAAACAAAAAAAAAAGTATTTTTCTAACTACACATCCACAGGAATTTATAGTTACTGGACTCACTGCCTAAAACAGTACCATGAGCAATATTTATTGAAAAAATTATCTTTCTTCATATATACGATTACAGGTGATTTGGTCAAAAACAAATACCCCAAGTTACTGTGTTTCCCACATTAGTCACTGGACAGTTTTACAACCTTTAAATTAGCACCTGTCCAATGGGAGTATAATACTAAGCCATACATTTCATTTTGAAATTTCTAGGAGCCACATTAAAAAAGTAAAAAGAAACAGGTGAATTTTAATAATGTATTTTAAATCTATATAGCCAAAATCATCATTTCAACATATAACTGATATAAAAATTATTAATGAGTTTTTTGAGGGTATTTTTAAATTAAGATATAATTCTCATTACCATAAAATTGGTTTAAAAGTGCAAAATTCACATTGTAGTATATTCAAAAAGTTGTACAATTATCATCAACTATATTCCAGAAAATTTTATCACTCCCAAAAAGGATTTCTCATTCTCTCCTCCTTCGAACCCTAAGCAAAAACTAATTTACTTGCTGTCTTCTATGAATTTGCCTATTCTGGATATATCCTAAATATGAGTATGTGGCTTTTAATGTCACTTAGCATATTTTCAAGGCTCATCCATAGTACAGCATGAATCAGTACCTCATTACTTTTATTCAAAATCTTTTTAAACTTTAATGTTTTTAATATATACAAAAATGCTGTAAAATGTTTCTCTATAAAGGTCATTCCTCTTCATGGCTGATTAATATTCCATTGCATACATTTACCACATTTTGTTCCTGTACTGCTCATCAGTTGATCTAAATCTGGTTGTTTCCATTTTGGGTTATCATGAATAATGTCACTGTGACCATTAGTGTAAAATTTTTGTGCGGACATGTTTTCATTTATTATGGGAATGTATCTAGGAGTGTAATCACTAAGTCATTTGGCAACTCTACACTTATCATTCTGAGGAACTTCCAAACTGTTTTTCCCTAAGTGGCTACAGTATTTTACAAACCCATCAGCAATGTAAAAGGGTTCCACTTTTCCCTATATCCTGGCCAATACTTGTTGTTATCTGTCTTTTATATTTTAGTCATGCTAGTGGGTGAAGTAGGCCATTGCAGGATTGTCTTCTTTTTCCATTGAAAAAGTTGTGGTAAAATATAAAGAACATAAAATTTGCCATTTTAACTATTTTAATTTTTATTTAAGATTTACTTATTTTTAGAGAAAGAGGAAGGGAGTGAGAAAGAGAAGAGAAACATTAACATGAGAAACATCAATTGGTTGCCTCTTGTACATGGCCCACTGAGGACCAAACCAGTAACCCAGGCATGTGCCCTGACCAGGAATCTAACTGGCAGCATTTCATTTTGCAGAGTGACACTGGAGCCACACCAGTCAGGGCTTAACTATTTTTCAATGTACAATTCAGTGGCATTAATTACATTTAGTATCATGCAACCAACACTACTATTTGTTTCTGAACAAAGGGTTTTCATCATCCCAAACAGAAACTGTCTGTACCATCAATTGGTAACTTCCCATACCCAGTCCCTGGCAATCTCTACTCTACTTTTTGTCTCTATTAATTTGCCCTTTCAAGGTATTTCATACAAGGAGAATCATAAAAGAGCTGTCCATGTGTGTCTGGCTTATGTGGTTCAGCATAAAGTCCTCAAGGTCCATCCACGCTATACAAAACTTCATTCCCTTTTACGGCTGAAAAAAATTTCACTGCATGCATATACCACATTTTGTTTATGTTTTCATTGTGGTTTTGATACACATTTACCTAATGATTAATGATGTTGAGCATCTTTTCATGTACTTCTTGGCCACTTTTATATCTTATTTAGAGAAAAGTCTATTCAAATCTTTTGCTCAGTTTTAAACTGGTTGTCGTCTTTTTTTTTATCCTCACCTGAGAATATGCTTATTGATTTGAGAGAGAGAGAGAGAGAGAGAAACAGCAATGCGAGAAACACTGATTAGTTGCCTCCTGTATGTGCCCAAACCAGGGGTTGAACCTGCATCCTTTTTGTGTACGTGACAACACCCCAACCAAATGAGCCACCCAGCCAGGACAAACTAAGTTGTCTTTAAAAAATAAATAAATCAAAAACATTTTTTCAGAAGTTTTTTTTTAACTTATTTTTAGAGAGTGAGAAAGGAAGAGAAACATCTATGGGCTGCCTCATGCACACCCCCAACTGGGGACCTGGCCTGCAACCCAGGCATGCGCCCTGACCAGGAATAGAACCAGTGACCTTTCAGTTAGCAAACCAGTGCTCAATCCATTGAGCCATACCAGCCAAAATGATTTTCTTTTCATTGCTGAGTTATAACAGTTCTTTATGCATTCTGGATATGCATTATGCATTATGGACTCTTTTCAGGGATGTGATTACAAAAATATTTTCTCCCATGAGCTGCCTCTTCACTTTCTTTGAAGCACAAAAAAATTTTTATTTTGATGAAATCTGAATTACCTATGTTTTCTTCCATTGCTTGCTGTTTTGGTGTCATATTTAAGAAATTATTGCCCAATCAAAGGCGATGAAGATTTATACTTAAGTCTCTCCCCCAGAGTTCTTTAATTTTAGTTGTTACATTTAGGTCTTTAATCCATTCTGAGCTAATTTTTGTACATTGTATGAGGTTGGGGTCTGACTTTATTCTTTTGTATGTACACATCCAGTTATCTCTTAATGAGATATTTTACATTGTCTTTTTTACTAAATCAATATGTATTTTTACACTTGTAACACATCTCATGTTGGACTACCCGTAATTAAGTGCTCCAAAGTCACATGTGGTTCATGGCTACTGTATCAGACAGCATAACTTTAGATCTTTAATTGATTTCTGGATTTTTTGCGGAGAGAGGGAGTTGGGGAAGTTTTTCCTCGTTTATGCTGCTTCCCTCCACCCTCCCCCCAATTAATTCTCAGTTACCTAATCCTACCCTGTCTCATGTATAACAGCAAGAAGCTGGCAAAGTACAGCAGATTACAAAAAAGTAATGTGTTCACAGACTTCTATAAATTAAGATTTTTCTAAATATATGCTCATAATGCTACTGCAAGTGATCACAATGTACATGTGACTGAAAGGGTCAGCAGGTAGTAACAAGTTATAACCTTTGTCACTTACAGTCACTATTTGTACAATCAACAATTTGCTGTGATGCCTCTCAAAGTCTCTAAGCCTTAAGGACGTTGAGTAAAGCACTACTGGGTACTAAATATCCTAACTGTTCCACTTCAGAATCTGCCCAGTGCTTTTAATTCATCAGAGCAACTTTCTTAGCACTAATCTGTCAGTTGCTATTATTTCCTGACTATTATTCCACAAGAGTTCAAAAAGTGTCCTTTCATGATTTTCTTTCGTTTATATTTTCACAGCAGTCTATTTCATATAGTTACCACTTAGAAATTCTACCATTCTTCCTCGAGACATGGATAATGAAAAGGAACTGATCTTCAGCAAGAACACTGCAATTTTAAGACTTACTCACACAGGACCATCCTATCTTATATTTAATATTAATGAAGGAAAAAATGGATGTGACAATGCAAGTATATATAAATCTCACAATACATCACAAACTGGATAATGCATCTTTACTAACTGACAAAACTAGCCTTCATGATTCAGTTTCTTAATTACATTTAGCAGATCATTCACTATACTATGTACCTTACTTCAGTGAATTGGTTATCAATGAAAATACCACGTAGATTTTCCCAGATATAGAATAACACACAATCTCAATATTGCTTCCATTTTTTAACACACAAAAAAGCAACACCCTAAATGAAATCAGTCTTCCAACTCAGTACTATTTGCTTAGAAAGGTACAAGATACTCTTTATTTTAGAGAACTTAGCTTTTCCAAAGTAACACCATATACTGATTTTGCAATTAGCAAATCAATTGTCTTCAAGCCTTAGAGGTCAGTCAATAAAGTAATTATTTGAAGCTCTGTAATTCCACAGAACTGGCCAAACCCAAACATATTCAAGCAAATCAATGGTGAGTAAGAAGTAATTACTACAGATTAAAAAGGAATACAGATCACAAGGAAATCAATGATACTTTAAACAAACCACTTGTAAAGGACATTTCTGAGATAACTAAAGAAAACTGAGCATATACTAGGATATCATATAAAAATGATTTTTAAAAATTCTATAAATAATTTTTACTTCCTTTATTCTTACCTTGACAATAAAATGAGGAAAAAAAACATGAATAACTTTTTCAGTGTAGGCCCAAACATAAAATGAAAAAATCATAATGGTGAGTTTCAAGTTAATAGTAAGAAATGTTAATGAAATATAGATAAAAAATATTGACCTATAAAGTTAAAAAGCTACTTCCAGTCAAGATGGAGGCATAGGTAGACATGCTTTGCCTCCTGCACAACCACAAAAAGAATCACAACTAACCTCAAAACAAAAAACAACCAGGACTGCCAGAAAATCAAACTGTATACAAGTCTGACAACCAAGGATTTAAAGTAGCCACATTCATCCAGTTGGGTAGGAGGGGTGGAGACAGGGAGCTGGGGTGGAGAGGATGTGGTGCAGTGCAGAGAGGTAGCAGCAGTGGCAGAATGAGTGGTCGGTCCCATATTCACGAGTGGTAGGTAAAAATCAAAAGGGATACCCTGGGAGCAAGCAATCTCAGCCTCAGGCCAGAGTACAGTCTAGGATTCCAGCACTGGGAAGATAAAGCCTCACAACTTCTGGCTGTAAAATCCAGTGGAGATTGGGGCAGCAGAATAAACTGCTAGTTTCTCAGGGAAGTCCGTTTAAAGGGCCCACTCAGTCCTATAATGTACGTAAACACACCCTTTCTGGGAATTATCACCAGGGAAGCAACTAGAAGGGTGCCAGTCCCATATGGGAAGTGGGTGAAGGGACTGGAAATGGGGCAAGTGCCAGGCAAGCCTCCAAAGGCCAGGTAACGGCACTGTCCCCTCTCTGGCCCCTCTTCCACATGCAGTGCCACAAAGGGTGAACTGGGTTGCCCCACCCTGACAAATACCTAAGGCTCTGCTCCTTATAACATAACAGGTGTGATAAGACAGTGAATCAAAGCAGCTTTACCTAATACTCAGAAACAAACACAGGGAAGCTGCCAACTTGGGAAAACAAAGAAATATGGCCCAAATGAAAGAAGACAACGAAACCCCAGAAAAAGAACTAAGCAAAAAAGAAATAGCCAACCTATCAGATGCAGAGTTCAAAACACTGGTGGTAAGAATGCTCAGAGAGCCCTGGCCGGTGTGGCTCAGTGGACTGAGCGCCAGCCTGTGAACCAAAAGGTTGCTATTTCAATAACCAGTCAGGGCACGTGCCTGGATTGCAGGCCACGTGCCTGGATTGCAGGCCAGATCCCTGGTTAGTGGTATGGCAAGAGGCAACCAGTATCTTTCACACATTGATGTTTCTCTCCCTTTTTCTCCCTCCCTTCCCCTCTCTCTAAAAAAAAGTAAAATAAATAAAATCTTTAAAAAAAAAAAAGAATGCTCAGGGAAATCATTGAGTACAGCAAAAACATAGGGGAAGAAAGAAAGCTACACTAAGTGAAATAAAGAAAAATCCACAGGGAACCAGAAACAAAGGGAAGGAAGCTGGGATTCAATTTGGAATTTAAGGAAGAAATAAACATTCAACCAGAACAGAATGAAGAAACAAGAATTCAAATAAACAAGGAGAGCATAAGAAGATTCTGGCACATCTCCAAAAGTGCCAACATCTGAATCACATGGATGTCAGAAGGGGAAGAAGGAGTGCAAGAAATGGAAAATATATTTGAAAAAATGATGAAAGAAAACTTCCTTAATTTGGTGAAAGAAATACACGTACAAGTCCAGGAAGCACAGAGTCCCAAACAAGTAGGACCCAATGAGGAACACACCAAGACACACCATAATTACAATGCCAAAGGTTAAAGATAAAGAGAGAATCTTAAAAGCAGCAAGAGAAGAGAGTTACCTACAAAGGAGCTCCCATAAGACTATTAGCTGATTTCTCAAAAGAAACTTTGCAGGCAAGGAGGGACCGGCAAGAAGTATTCAAAGTGATAAAAAGCAAAAAGCAAGGACCTACAACAAGATTACTCTATCCAGCAAAGCTATCATTTAGAATGGAAGGGCAGTTAAAGTGCTCTCCAGACAAGGTAAAGCTAAAGGAATTCATCACCACCAAGCCAGAATTACATGAAAATGGTAAAGGGACTTTTTTAACAAAATGAAGATCAAAACTATGAACATTAAAATAACAACAAATACAGAACTATCAACAACTGAATCTAAAAAAACCAAAAACAAAAACAAACTAAACCAACAACTAGAACAGGAACAGAATCAGACGTGAAGATCATTCGGAGGGTTATTAGCTGGGACAGGGAATGGGGAGAATGGAGGAAAAGGTACAGTGATTAAGAAGCATAATTGGTAGATACAAAATAGACAGGGGGATGTTAACAGTATAGGAAATGGAGAAGCCAAAGAACTTACGTGCACGACCCATGGACATGAATTAAGGTCAAGGGGATTGCTAGAGGGAACGTGGGTACCAGGTGGATAGGGGGCAAGGAGAGAAGGGGGGCAAAGGGGGAAAAAAATTAGGACAACTGTAATAGCATAATCAATAAAATATACTTAAATATAATAAAATAGACGGGAACATTAAAAGAAAGGAAGGAAGGAAGGAGGAATTCCTACCTTTTTTTTTTTTAAAGATTTTATTTATTTCTTTTTAGAGAAAAGGGAAGGGAGGGAGAAAGAGGGAAGAAACATCAATGTATGGTTGCCTCTTGCGCGCCCCCTACTGGGGACCTGGCCCACAACCCAGGCATGTGCCCTGACTGGGAATTGAACCAGTGACCCCTTGCTTCACAGGCCAGCACTCAATCCACTGAGCCACACCAGCCAGGGCAGAATTCCTACCTTCTGTGATAGCATGGATGGAACTAGAGACAATTATGCTAAGTGAAATAAGACAGTCGGAGAAAGACATATGACCTAACTTACGACCTAACCATATAACCTGACTTTTAACTGGAATCTAATGAAGAAAATAAACTAACAGCAAAAATAGAACCAGAGACATGGGAACATGGAACCGACTGACAGCAATAGCAGGGGAGGGGAGAAAGGGGAATGGAAGGAAGGAAAAGGGATTAGTCAAAGATCATGTATGAATGACTCATGGACAAGGAGCGGGGACTGACTGTGAGAGAGAGGGGTGGGCTGGGTGGAGAGGGGAAAAGGGAAAAAAATTGGGAAAACTGTAACAGAATAAACAATTTTAAAAAGTTAAAAAGCTCAAAAGTAACATTTCTTAGTAGAGTAAGCATCAACTAGTAATCACCAACAGATGTTCCTATTAAAAGAAATTACACTGTAAAAAAAGAAAAAGGAAAAAAACCCTACAAAATTTTTTTGAAAAAGAAATTATATCATACTGAACCAAAAATCTAAACAGGTATATGTAATCCACTACATATCAGGTATCAGCACAATTTGACAGATCTTATTCTGTGATAACCAGTGAATCATAAAGTGAGTTCTAGCCTATGTAATTGCCCAATTATGAAAAATGATACTTATCATAAGAAACCCTAAAATAGCACTGTGGCAATAACTTTGTAGCAAAAAACACTAAACCAAATGGCAAAATAAACAGTGAACTTAAAACCCTAAAAATTTGGGTACCACTGTCCTTGAAAAGTTTAGGTTATGACAATTTTATTAGCCATTCTATTTTATAAATTCTCACCTCTTTTGGAGTTTTATGAGCTGCACAAAGAAAAATCCATTGTTCAGTTGCTGTCATCTGAGTACACGTATCTGGATGGCATTCACTCTGTTAAAAATAGTTACATTTCTTAATATGTAAAATAACAATTGAAAAGTTTATTATTTGGGTTACTATATTTCCAAGTAAAATTCTAGCACAGAAATTCTGGGTAAGTCTTTACAAAGACTTATGTTATAAAAAACATTAAGAAAAATCAGAACTTTCAATTATTGCTTTAACTTAAAAATATTACCTGAAGTTTGACAGCAAGTCCATTGAGCTCAAGACAGAATTGCCTAAAAACGCAAATATATAAATGAAAAGTCTTATCTATTTTCCACATTTAGAATATTAGTTGTAAAAAGAGAACCTAATCAGTACCATCCATCCTCCCTCATCATTATCAACACTACCTGATCTTACATGCACATTTCCTACATACAGATTAATAAAACAAAACTGAAAAATAATGACCCTAAAATACTTCCGTATCAGAGTTCAGTGACTTGATCGCTCTTAACTCTGGAAATTGGTACAATTCTTCTGAGAAGCATTTTGGAAATATTTACCAAGACACTTAGGAAGTGCTTATTTTTTGACTAAGTCATTCTAAGAACAATTCTAATGAAATACTCAAAACTGCATGCAGATATATGTAAAAAGATGTTTGCAGAAACTATACGTAAAAAAATTTTTTTAAACATTCTAAATGATTAGCAACTGGTCAGTAGTAAAATATTGGCAAAGCATGTATGTTCACATTCACAGTAAGATTCCAGTTATATAAAAAATTGTGTGCACGTATACAAACAGATATACAGAAAAAGACATTTTTTATATTTCTATGTATTTTACAAGTTTTATTGATTACAAATGACGTGCTCCTTATAAAAACTTCATATATAATGTAGAAGAAAGTCCTCCATAATTCTACCACCTCATCCCAAAAGATAACTATTGTTCACAGAAAATTTGATTTTCTATCCACAGATTAAAATATACTGAGATCACAAGTTTGTTACTTTCTTTAGTATCACTTAACAGACTGTTGCTATTTTTTCATGACATGCTTTCCTTCTAAAATTTCCAGACTGAGAATTACAAACCCCAAAACAATGCTTGGAACATAATTAAGTGCTCAAAAAATACTTCTGAATAATGCTTAATGGAGGAAATTTCATGACACTGAGATCTGACGACTTTTAAATTGATTTTTAGAGAAAGAGGGGGAAGGGGGAGAGAGGGGGAGAGAAACATCATTTTTATATTGTCCCACTTATTTATGCATTCATTATTTGAGTCTTGTATGTGCTCTGACCAGGGATGGAACCCCCAACCTTGGTGTATTGGAAAGATGCTCTAACCAACTGAGATACCTGGCCAGGGCCAAGATAATCATTTTTAAACAGGCTTGTTACTTGATATGAAAAGACAATTTATCCTCTATGTCACAAAGATAATTTACTTTATAACTGTCAAAATACTGAATATGTCCTAAAATTCCTATCAAATTAATGATTACTGTATCTCCCAATCAAATGAGAACAAAGCTAAAGCATATGTAATTGGTAGATAAAAGAGTCCCAAATGAAAAAAAAAAATTGCACATATATAAAAGAAAAACTAAAAAAAAAAAAAAAAAAAAAAAATCACAACTATTTATTTATTTACTTATTTAAAACACATTATACCCCTGGCCAGGTAGCTCAGTTGGCTGGAGCATCATCCCATATACAAAAATGTTGTGGATTCGATTCTCATCAGAGCATATACTTAGGTTGCGGGTTCATTCCCTGGTCGAGGCATGTATGTTTGTTTCTCTCTCTCTCCCTCTGTCCCTCTCTAAAATAAATAAACGTATCCTTGGGCGAGAATAATAAAAAAAAGTACATTACAATTGAAGAAAACAAATAAAAAGACATACTTTCAAATTTTCAGTTGTCTATAATTTTATTTCCTTTCTAGGTGGCCAAAAATAATGCTGTTCTTGGACTACAAAAATAATATTTCTGAATCATCACATCACGCTGTACTAGGCCTTATCTGTAGACTGCATGTTACAAGTTTTTTATTTGTTAAAAGTTTCTAGTCTAGTTTAACCCACTTATGGAATAGCAAAATTAAACCAACTGATTTCGCAATGTTTATGTATGGACATCACCTGTGGGATACACTTCAGACTTAACAACTTCAGGTTAATTCAATACAGGGCCAACACAAAGTTGTATGCCTGAAGACACAAGCCACAGCTGAAATTCAGTTATAAAGTGACCCTAGTCACAAAGCCATGAATCCTAGCATGAGATTGCACCCACTCAAATGAAGAGGTATCTTTTCCTAATTACACAGATCCGGTATGGGCAAGTAGAAGATTTGACTAAATCTCCCATGACCTAATTCCCATTAACATCATAACATAATCAAATGCATTAACCAATAACATTAAGAGTTAAGCCTCAAATCAATAACATCAAGTGCATACTCTTCTTGGTCAACTATAAAGATGTATACAGTATGATAAAGGACCAAAACTATATATATACATGTAATGTATAATGCACAAATACAAAACCAGAAAGAGTGGCTAATATTCAGGAAAAAATAACAAGAGTAAAAACAACAGCACAAGGACCAAAAAATATGCATGAAAAAAATTTTATGAGTTTTGTATAATGCATATTTCATAGTCTAAGTCAAATAAGGAGAAACAGGTTTTCTTAGATCTAAAAGAAAAACCTTATAAACTAAAATCAGCCCTCACTTGTTACGAATTATGCTACATAAAAAATCCTCATGGGGGGAGGTGGGTAAAGGACGTTAAATGGCAGTGGAAAAACTACAATAAAAAAATGAAAAAAAATCTTCACTTATTTTCATTATTAATCCTACTAGACAGTTATTCTCAAAGCTGACTAAAATAAGACAAAGGATATATTATACTAAAGTGTTCTCTATCTTGATTTATAAGGATAGAGAAACATCTACATATTCGTACTTTCAATCATTGACTGAGATGCATTTTTTAAAACCCAGATCAAGTAGTCAAGTTATTTGACAATAAGCTGGCAGAGTACAAAGAAGTCAGAGCATCCTGAAATTGCTGAACTGTTATAACAGGACATATGTCTTTGCAAAATCTAAACAACATGCCTGCAACATCAAAAAAAAAAAAAAAAAAGTACCTTATCTACAGGTTGAGGCTCTCATCACAAAAAATGTGGTCTAATTTATTAGGGAAAAGTCATATTTCTACTTTAATTATTATTTTCAATTCAACTCAAAAGTAATAAACCCTGAAGAACATATATCTATACTGCATTGTATTTAACCTACCAACTCATCCCAGCTCCCATTTATATTAGAAAGTTTATAACTTCAATAAACAACTTAGTAACTTCAGGATACAACCGCTTCTAAAGTTAACTCTAGTTAACTAGTCACACACTCATCACTGGTTTTTTTCATTCAAAGGATATTATAAAAAGATCCAAAACTCCTTCCTTCAAGATTACAATTAATCTCTATTTACCAAAGGGAAGACTGGAAGTTCACGGTAGTTAACAGGTAACTCATCAGACACCAAGCCTATACTAGGAACTTGATATGATCCTCTATAAAGAAATAGTTATTCATGAGTAGGTAAATGAAAACAACACATCTGTGGTCAAGAGATGTGATTTAGAAAAACTATGTAAAAAGAAAATAAGTCCCAAATCCATAAATGTAGGAAAAAATCAGTAAATTAACAAAGTTGAAAACCTTTATAACACTGAAAATATAAAAGCTTTAGAATTTGCTTTTTGATCTGCAGTTACATAATGATTTTATTTACAATTCATAATCATTAATATTAAAGATTATTTTTACTAACAGAAGTACTATTACTATTTTGATATATCATAAGGACCTACCTTAAATGTTCATACTTCCATACACCTTCATCTTGGCCTTCTGGTGGTTCAAGAATTTTGTCAATATTGGAACAATCTGCTCTTATGTTCTGTTGAATATACTATAAACAAAGAAGTTCTTACAGTTAATTATTATACTAATGGTAAATCTTACGTGAAATATATATATAATTTTTGAATACATAACTGCTCCTGTGGTTCAAATTTTGGGTTATAAACGAAATAGAAAACCAAGTACAGAATCATAATCCATACAGCTAGTCCTTGAATATTTCATTATAATGTTGATGAGATACCACAGGGACTTAACTCTTGTTTATATCAAGTAGTTTATGATAAATCTGCTTTCCTTGTATGTCATTTCACCACAGTTCAAGAACCTCTTAACAGTGTCAAGGGTGTAATGTAATTCAGAAGAAAGGAGGTAACCCTTACTTATTCTCCAATTCAATTTCTTTGGAATAGAATTAACCACAAAAATGCCTATGATATTTACCAGGAGTGAAAATAGGATCAAAACTTCAAACCATAATTTTCACATGAATGTAAAATATAGATACTGTAAATGTAACTGTGGAGCTCTAATCAGTGTTGCTCAGTTGGTTGAGCATTGTCCTGCAAAGCAAAAGGTCACCAGTTCGATTCCTGGTCAGGGCACATGCCTGGGTTACAGGTTCATCCTCTCAGGGTGCATATAAGAGGCAATCAATCAATGTTTCTTTCTCACACCAACATTTCTCTCCCTCCCTTCCCCTCTCTCTAAAAATAAATTTAAAAAAATAAATTAAAAAAGTATTTTTAAAAATGTAATTGTGGTGTATATTATATGATTCCATTAATAGGAAGTATCTAGAATAGACAAAAATCTAAAGAGACAAAAAGAAAATAGATTAGTAGGTGCTCTGGAATGAGGGAAGAAGTGTAGAGACAAAGAAAAATGGAGATAACTGCTAATGGGAATGATGTTTCTTTAGGTGAAGATGATGTTCTAAAATTAGATTGTGGTTATGGCTATACAATCCAGTGAATATACTAAACACAAGTACATTGTTGTTGTTTTTTTAATTTATTTACTTCCAGAGAGGAGAAGGGAGGGAGGGAGAAAGAGAGGGAGAGAAACAGATGTGAGAGAGAAACATGGATCAGTTTCCTCTCACACATCCCAACAGGGGACTGAACCCACAAACTTCGCCTATCAGGACAATGCTCTAACCAACTGACCTACTTGGTCAGAGCTACCACTAAAATCTTTTGCAGGTGAATTTTAATGCTAACTGTTTTTGAAACTAAGTAAATTGAACAATTATTATTTAAGAAACAGGCTTTGAAATCTTTTAAGGAATTCTACAGAAAAATCCAAAAGAAAACCTCATAAAAAATGGTCTTTATGTTTCCAACAACTTACTAACTCACTATCATTTCTTGAAGAGAATCTTTTTCAGTAAGCTTCCAAAGACATCGCTTCTACCTGAGACTGCCACCTGATCAACCTCAAATAACAGTTCAGACACTATCAGTATGTACTCACTTCCCAGTTCTTTTACATTTCTTCTACACGAGTATATTACACCAGTTTTAAAGTTAAGTCAAAAAAGAAAAAAGGCATGAGCCCTGGCCCAAGTGGCTCAGTTGGTTGGAGCATCCCATTACCAAAAGGTTGCGGGTTCAGTTCTCAGTCAGGGCATATATCTAGGTTGCAGGTCCAATCCCCTGTCTGGGATCAGTCAGGAGGCAACCAATTGATGCTCCTCTCTTGCATCAAGGTTTCCTTCACTCCCTTCCTCTTGCTCTAAAAAAGGCAATGAAAAATGCTGTCCGGTGAGGATTTAAAAAAAAAAAAAAGGTATAAAATCTTTCTTATCTCATGAAAAAGGCAGAGATATATGTTTCTAGTGATTTATTCCTGTGGGCTATAATTATAATAAACTAGTACTATTATTTTATGATTTTTTTTCCTGAAGCAGTTTTTAGAAATCATTTGGGAAGAGTAAAATACATAGTAATAAAACACCACACAAAAAGCATTCCACTGTTTTCAGTTTTGGGTAAGATGGAGTAAGCACACATCAACCTTTATCTCCTACTGAACGAAACTATAAAAATCTGATCAGAATGCATAATGCAGCTATTTGAGGTCTCTGAAAAGCAATTATCAAAAAGAGGAGCAGGGGAAAAAAATCAGAATTCAAAGTACCAATGAACTGACAGTAAGTTTGCTGTGTTTCTTATCTCTGATATCCCCCTGGCCTGAACTCAATTCAGTGTGAAATGAAAAAAATGAGCACTATTGATGCAGACAGATACAAGAAAAACTATCAACATTTAGTTCTGGCTTAAGGAGTGGAAAAAGGAACTCCTAAAGCTCAAAGTGAGTGAAAGAAATCACCTGCATTTTTCCCCCTCTCTTTTTTCTCCATTGCCTAGGCCTGAGAGAATTCCACAGGGACAGCAAAAGCAGCTGGCAACAGAAAAATGCAAGACAAAATTCTAAGGAAGAGAACCCTTCCTCTCCACTTACTGCTGAGATCTAACCCTGTTTTTCTCTCTTTGCCCTCCCACAACTGCCGCACAATTCCGTTATAATCCAGAATTATTTGGCATACAAAGAATACATGAAAATCTTGATTTTCAAGGGAAAAAACAATTACCATGCACCAATGATAAGACAACACAGGCGGAATTACCTGACAAAGACTTTAAAGCAGGTATTATAAAAATACTTAAATTTAAAATCAAACACTTGAAACAAAAGTATCAGCAAAGAAAGATATAGAGCCAAATGGAAATTTCAGAACTGAAAAATACAATAACCAAAATAAAATACTCACTGGAGTCAATAGCAGAATAGAGATGATGCAACAAAGAGTCAATAAACTTGCAGATAACTAAAGAGTAATTATCCAATCTGAACAACAGAAATAAAAAGGAATAAAAAATAACGACAACAATAAAAATAAGCAGAGCCTCAGGAACTTGTGAGACAACAATGAAAGATTTAGAAGTCATGTTACCAGCCCTGGCCAGAGTGGCTTGGTTGGTGGGAGGATCACATTGTAAACCAAAGAGTTGTGAGATTGATTTCCAGTCAAGGCACAATGCCTAGGTTGCGGGTTCAGTCCCAGAGGGAGCACACAGGAAAGGTGACTGACTGATGTTTCTCTCCCCCCACCCTTCCTTCCCCTCTCTCTAAAATCAATAAGCATGTCCTCAGGTGAGGATATAAAAAAATAAAACAAAATTCATGTCACCAGAGTCCCACAAAAAGAAAAAAATGTGGTGCTAAAAAATAGATCTGAAGAAAAAAGATGTAAACCTACAAATTCAAGAAGGTGAATGGGCTAATGGGGAGTTATTATTTACTGCGTACAGAGATTCAGTTAGGGAAGATGAAAAGTTCTTGAGATAGATGGAGGTGGTAATGGCTGCACAACTGTGCATGTACTTAATACCACAAAACTGTACACTTACAATGGCAAAAAGGGTAAATTTTACATATACAGGGTCCAGCAGAAGTAACACCTGCTTGAGCGTGGTTGGTAGGCTACGTGAATGTCTCGGACAGGATGGACAGCATTTGAACATTTCACCTAAAATGTTATATGGTGTGCTTGCGTATGATGTTATGTTACATACTTACATGCTTATGATTTTGCAATAAAAAAGGGGCATTATTTGTGCCAGACCCTGTATATTTATGTGTATATATAGACATGTACATACACATAGATATATACACATTTATACATATATACATGTATACACACACACACACACACAATTAAAAAACGCAGAGTGAACATCAAACAGGAAAACCCAAAGAAATCCAACCCAGACACATAAACTGTCAGAAACTAAAGATAAAGAAGTCAGAGAAAATGTGTTCACAGTTGCAGTCTTCGCTCTCTAATGTCAGTGCCTCCTTTAGTTTGCTAAGCTCAAGCCAAAGGAGAACAGAGGTAAGTAAAGAAGTCTCTAGTCCATGGCTGAAAGAAGCAGACTGCCCGCAAATCGACAGAGTGTAACCCAGGAAGCAAATGGCTACCAAAGCTGCTCGCAAGAGAGCACCTCCTATTGGAGGGGTGAAGAAACCTCATGTAATAAGCCTGGTACTGTGGCACTGTGTGATATCAGATGTTCTCAAAAGTCGACTAAACTTGCAATTCGCCAACTTCCCTTCCAGCGTCTGGTGCAAGAAATTGCTCAGGACTTCAAAAGAGATCTTCACTTCCAGAGTGCAGCTGTTGGTGCTTTGCAGGAGGCAACTGAGGCCTATCTGGTTGGCCTTTTTGAAGACACCAACCTGTGTGCTATCTATGCCAAAAGACATCCCGTTAGCATGCCACATATGTGGAAAACATACTTAAGAATCCACTATGATGGGAAACATTTCATCCTTTAAAATAAAAAAAATTCTCCTCTACTTATTATTATTGGTAGTTATGAACATTAGATTTTTTTTCCCCATGGAGTCAAAAGGTACCTAAGTATATGAATGCAAGTGGAAAATGGGGAACATAAATCAGGTGTTGCCAGTTTTGTCCATTTTCAGTTGTGTGTGAACTTTTTAAATATAAATGAGGGGGCATAAAGCATCGATGCAAATCAAAATGTTTTAGTGAACAACTTTTAGCAGTTCAACTTCATAACAATATAAATAAACCTGTTAAATTTTTCTGGACGATGCCAGAATTTGAATTTTTTAAACAAGTAAATTTCTTACAGATGGCAACTAAATGGTATTTGTAGCATTTTTATCATACAGTAGATTCCATCCATTCACAATACTTTTCTAACTGAGCTGTCCTACATGCAAGTGTAGGACATATGTTGCCTGTCAATAATGTTGTCTGTCTTCTGTGCTGTTCTTGCAAGTTTGCTATTAAAATACATTAAACTACAGGGGAAAGTGGTGGGGGGTAGGCAGAGACAAATGTATTTAAAAAAATTAAATTAAAAAATAAAAAATAAAATAAAATACATTAAACTATAAAAAATAAAAAAAACAGATAAAAAAAAAAACCACACATGACCTATAGAATAAGGATTCAATGACTGCAGCTTTCTCATCAGAATCCATAGAAGATTGGGGGGAATGGCACATTTTTAAAATGCCAGGGGAAAAAGAACTGTCAACATTTCAAACGAAAGAAAACTAAGGAGAATTCCTAGCCAGCAGAGTGCTCAAAAATGATTGCTAAGAAAATGTTCAGACAGAAGGAAAAAACAATACAGGAAGGAAACGAAGAATATCAGGAACAACAGAAATTATTAATATCTAGGTATAAATATAATACACTATTCTCCTCCTGAGTGCTTTAAATATGTCTGGCAAAAAGTATAATATTGTCTGAAACGGTTTCCAAGAACACAGGTGTGATATAGACAAATACAGCAAAAAGAGAGGGTAAAGGGATCTATATAATGATAGTTTCTACATTTCAATCCAAGTGGTAAAATATTGATTCTAAGTAGACTGAAAAATTAAGTACGGCCCTGGACAGGTGACTTGTAGCATCATCCCTTACACCAAAAGGCTGTGGGGGTTTGATTGCTGGTCAGGGCACACACCTAAGTTGCCAGTTCGACCTCCAGTTAGGGTGAGTATAAGAGGCAACCGATCTCTGGTTCTCTCTCACATCGATGTCTGTTTGTCAGTCTCCCTCTCTCTCTCCCTTCCTCTCTCTCTAAAAAAATCAATTAAAAAAATCCAAAGGTTAGGATTTTTTTTTAAACAAAAGCTAAGCATGTATTTAGTAACATCTAGAGCGATTATCAAAAAATTACATACAGAGATATAGTCAAAATTAGAATAAATTAAAACAGAATACTAAAACATTCAAACAATCCATAAAAAGGCAGCAAAGCAGAAACAGAGGAACAAAGAAACACAGGGAACAAACTGAAAACAAATAAAATGGTAGACCTAAATCTAAACATAGCTATCAACAACTACATTAATGTTAAATGGCCTAAATACACTAGTTAAAAGTCAAAGATTATCAGAAAGAACAAAGAATTATGACCCAACTATGATGTAGGTAGGTAAAAAGGATGGAAAATGATATACTATATGACGTGAATCAAAAGAAAGCTGAAAGAAACAAGCGGTGGTTCATCATTTAAAAGAAAAATCAATGTATACCATTTCAATGTATTAATTTATCGATATATTACATAAAATACAAAGGGAAAAACACACAATCATCTTAATTAATGAAAAGATATTTGATAATATCCAACACTTTTTTTATGACAAAAACACTCCAAAAACCAAGTAAAGAAGAGAACTTCCTCAATATAATGAAGGACATTTATAAAAAAGCCACAGGTAACATCATACTGAATGGTAAAAGAATGAAAAGTTTCCCTCTAAAATCAGAAATGAGACAAATATGCCTACTTTCACCACTGCCCTTCAACATTGTACTGAAGTTCTAGCCAGAATTATTAGACGAGAAAAAAAATTAAACGAGAGGTTATCTTTATTCAGAGATGACATGATCCTTACAGAAATCCCAAGAATCCAGAGCAAAGCTAATAAAGCTAATAAATGAATCAGCAAAGTAGCAGGATACAAGACCAATTTACAAGTCAGTTACATTTCTATACACCTTCAATAAACAATTCAAAAAAGAAATTAAGAAAGCTAATCCATACACAATAGTATTCAAAAGAATAAAATACAGCTCGCCCTTGAACAACACGATTTGAACTGTACAGGTCCACTTATACACAGAATTTTTTCAATAAATACTGTAAATATATTTATTGTCCTTATGATTTTTCTTAGTAACATTTTTTCTCTAGTTTACTTTATTGTAAAAAAACAGTATATAATACATATAACACAAAATATGTGCTAACCAATTGTTTATGTTACCAGTAAGGCTTCCAGTCAACAACTGGCTACTAGTAGTTAAGTTTTGTGGGAGTCAAAAATTACAAGTGAATTTTCAACTGTGCAGGAGATCAGTCAGTGTCCCTAACCCCCATGTTGTTCAAGAATCAACTGTATCCAGGAATAAATTTAAATAAGGAGCTTAAATACTTGTAGAATGAAAGCTACAAAACACTGCTGCAAATAAAGACCTACATATATGATTTGAAAGACATCTTGTTCACCTCGTTCATAGGTAGGAAGATTTAATACTACCCAAAGCAATACACAGATTCCATGCAATCTCTATCGAAATTCCAAGTGGTTTTTTTTTTTTTATAGAAATGGAAAAGCTGATTCTCAAATTTGTATGAAATTGCAAGAGACACAATATAGCTAAAGTAATCTTGAAAACACAAAGTTGAAGGACCCATACTCCCCAATTTAAAAACTTACTACAAAGCTACAGTAATTAAAACAGTATACTACCAGCATAAGGACAGACATATAGACCAATGGAATTGAATAGAGCTCCTAGAAATAAACCCTCACATATATAGCCAATTGATTTTGACAAGAATGCCAAGACCATTCAATGTGGAAAGAATAGTCACTTTAACCATTTTTAAGTGTACATTCCAGTGGCATTATTTACATTCACAATGTTGTGCAACCAAAGAAAAGCTCTACACCTGATGGCTTCACTGATGAATTTTACCAAACTTAAAGACCACCACCAATCCTTCTCAAATTCTTCCCATAAATTGAAGAGGAGGGCATCCTTCCTAACTCATTCTATGACATCAGCATTGCCTGATACTAAAGCCAGTCATAGACATTCTAAGCAAACTAGAAACCAATTATCCCTTTTGAACATTGATGCAAAAATCCTAGCAAACCAAATTCTGCAGCATATTAAAAGGATTATACACCATGATCAAGTGGAATTTATTCCTAGAATGCAAGGATGGTTCAACATTTTTAAAAAACTGATCATCATATTAACAGAATGGGGTAAAAAAAAAAAAGTACATGGTTGCCCTAGCTGGTGTGGCTCAGTGGACTGAGTGCCAGTCTGCAAACCAAAAGGTTGCAGGTTCGATTCCTGGTTGAGGAACATGCCTGGGTTGTGCCCAAGTTCCCCAGTTGGGGGTGTGCAAGGGGCAGCCCATCAATGCATTTCTTATACATTAATGTTCCTCCCCCCTCTCTTTCTCCCTCCCATCCCCTCTCTCTAAAAAGTAAATATATAAAATCTTTAGAAAAACAAACAAACACATGGTCGTCTCAACTGGTATAGAAAAAGCATCAGACATAATTCAACATTTTTTATCAAAAAACACTCAATGAATCAGAAATAGGAAACTACCTCAACATGATAAAGGCCATATGTGAAAAACCTACAGTGAACATCATACTCAGTGGAAAAGTCTTAAAAAGCTCTCCTCTATAATCAAGAACAAGATAAGGATGCCTGTTTTTGCCACTTTCATTCAAAGCAGTATTGGAAGTTCTAGAGAGAGCAATTAGGAAAGGAAAAGAAATAAAAGGCATCCAGATTGGAATGAAAGAAATAAAATTATCTGTTTGCAGATGGCATGATCTCACATGTGGAAAACCCTAAACATTCTACAAAAGCATTATTAGGATAAATGAACTTAACAAACTAACTAGCAGGACACAGCCTCTATTTTAAAGTGGAAAATATGTGCACATTTCATTTCTCAATTTTTGCCAATTTCCAGGCACAGATCTCTAGGTTTATATTTCAGTATCCTCCTCAAGGCTTATCTTATTGCTAACCCAATAAATATTTGCTGATTGAACAATACATTTTTAAAAGGCAATGCACAAAACAATTCATTCATGAATGCTCTTCCATTTCCTGTGTTAAACATCTAATACACTAAATCCATTTTAAAGGGTTTTGTTTAATGATTATTAATTGTTTTTATGTTCAAAGAACTCAACTGTATTTCTCTTGTATTTCCTAAGATCTTCTAATAATAAATCCAAATAGTCATCTACTTCTATTATTTGGCCATCAAGATGAAGCTAGCCTATCATTATTGCACACTTTCTCTTTAAAAATGTTAATCCATGGCTAGTCCAATATACTAGTATACCTAAATCCAGGAATCCTTTTATTAATACCTAAATGCAATTTTTAATAATTAGCTTTGGAAACTATTTTTTTCCCAGATTCCGTATTTTATTCATTTTGGAAGAATGACCCACCTCTTTTTTTTTTCTTTTTTTTCTTTTTTTTAACCCAACATAATACACAGTGTGATTCTCAATAGAAATATTTAAGAATATCCTCTGGAGCTTTTCAAAGCAAACATGCTACAGAAGCCCACCTTCTTGATAATCATTGCCTTGATGAGCTACTTGACAGTGGCAACAACCTAAGGGGAGGCATCTTAGCTCTCAAATATATTGGAAGGGTACAAAAGTAAAGAACTGATGGAAACTAAAATTAAAATGCAAAGCTTAGGTACATGTTCTCAAGTGTTCTGTCACCAAGTGAGTATCTTATTTCCACTTAAGTGTTATTCTAATTTAGTATTCAATTAATTTTGAATTAAATTCATCATAAAATCAAATTTAGTACACAGATATGATACAGATTAACATATTTTAAGATATTAAAATATATTTGATTATAGTTTAATATGCCATCTAAAAATAAAATGAAAGTTGATAGAAGTTTTAAATAAGCAATCCATTAATTCCATGGGTTCTGGTTTATGCTAGAAGATATAGAAACACCTAACTATACTAAGGGAGGACAATTGTTTATTTTAGTGGAGCTGCAAAAGAAACTATTGTTATTACCTGCTGAACAGCTAGTGTACTGTCCATTTCATCAAAAGATTCATCAGGCCAATTATAGAAATCCTATTAAAAAAAAAATTCATGGTTAAAGCACAAGATTCAATACCAGTATGATTAACTCCAATTCTTAACAAAAATCTAAAGTTACACTAGAGAAGAAAAGCCCTCATATTGTAAACATTGTGATTATCAATAATAAGTTAAAGGAATTTTATTCAATGTTTTTATATAAACACCAAGATTTTACTTAATTGAACTACAAGTTACATTTTTTTCCAACCACAAATCCTTCAATATGGCTCCCATAAACTTTTCATGTATCACTTGAGGAGATAAGTGCTATCACTTTTATGTTTATGGTGGTTAAATATCTTCTCAAAAAGTTACACTTAATCTCCCTGTACCATAAAACTGAATCAGTTTTTACCTAGAGAATAGCTAGTGTTAGTAGTACTACAAGTAGCAGTAATTACTGCTCCATAAGTGTTATTTTAAACAGACATTATAAATTATTATTCCAATTTCAAACATTATTTTAAATTTCTAAAGTGGAAGAACAAAATCAATGTTTCTCTCTCTCCAAAATCAATAAATATTTTTTAAGTTTATTAAAATATGAAGGTCCATCAAAAATAGAATAGCCACCAAATACAAGCAGCCTTCTTCTAAGAGGGATATTTTTGTGGTTCACCTTGCATCGGTTCTGAATTCCTCTATAGACAATCCAGTTCGTAGACATTCCCCTAAGTAATTAAGCACCTTTCCATTTGACTGATTTTTCAGCAAAGTTTACTTATGTAACCTTACTTTACTTAGGTAACCTTAGTAGGTACCATAATTCCTGACATATAGTAAGTGCTCAATTAATGTCTGAGGTAAAAATGGGTTTAAAGTAGTTGTAAACCAATGACCTTATATAACCCTGTTATCAACCAACATGTGTAAGTCTCCAAACACCTTGAGCAAAAACTGGAGCAAACTGAGTAATACAGTGTATGATACTACATGAATAAAAGTTTAAGAAAGTCCAAAGCATGCTTATGTATATAATGCACATATAGTGAAAGTTAAAGAAAATAAAGGAATGATAATCACTATTTTTGGTGGGGAAGAAAGGGTAAAAGACAGAAGACTGTAATACAGAGGAATTCAATTATATTAATAATGTTTTAGTTCTGAGGGTAGGTGATGGGTATACCTTTTTAAGTGTCTTACCTGTTTATTTTTTTAATAGTTTCCCTATAGGAATGAAAATGAACTAACTTTACTTTTAAATGTCCAGAAATTTTCTACAACTTACTGAAAATTATTCCAAGACATCTTTTTCTTAGACATCATCTAGGAAAGAGTAATTTTAAAATTCTTCATATATGATTTGTAGTTAAAAAATGTTTCTGTTAATACACTTTGCATATACTTGCATTTAAAATTTTAGTTTGTAGCCCTAGCTGGTGTGACTCAGTGGACTGAGTGATGGTCTGTGAACCAAAAGGTCGCTGGTTCAGTTCCCAGTCAGGGCACAGGCCTGGGCTGTGGGCCAGGTCCCCACTGGGGGCACTTGAGAGGCAACTGATAGATGTCTCTCTCGCACATCCATGTCTCTCTCTCTCTCTTTCTCCCTCCCTCCCCTCTCTCTAAAAATAAATAAATTAAAAAAATCTTTTTTAAAATCCAGCTTAATGAATGTTCTCATCTAATTCAGTCAATAAACGTTTATTGAAAATTAACTATGTGCCAATATCCCAATCTAACCAACTTTTTTAAAAAAAATAGGAAGACACTTCACCTACTCTATTACAGTTCTAAATAAGTCATCTTAGAATAGACCCATTTCACTAAACAGTGTGACAGACAAGGGATAGAACAGAATGCTACTTAAGCACTCTTTTTTTTTTAACCCTAATCTTTTCTGTCACATTTTACTTAACAACCTTGACCTATGACAATGTGGAAAAACCAAAGGAGCTTTCTTGTATGTGACTTACTCATAACAACATAGCAGATCTGTTACAATATTAACTTAAAATATATTATTTTCTTTCCTTTCAAACTTCAGAACTTTTGAGTAAATAAAAATGGATAATTCTCAGAATGTGAGTAAAAAAGTCCACTTCTGAATATAAAAATATAAAAGTTGATCACTTAATAAAAGAAGAAACAATGTTTTCACAGAATAAGAAGTGAAGGTCTTTACATAGCATGGGGCAAAAGTAGATTTACAGTTGTGAGCAGGCAAAACAAGTTTATTCTTGTATTATTATTTATTAATTACTATTTTATTTTCCATACTCACAACTGTAAACCTACTTTTGCCCCACTCTGTAAAGAAAGTTTGGAAAAGATAAAAAGGAGGCCTAAATAAGAAATTCCCACCAGTATGACCATGAAACTATCAGAGCAACCGACAGTTTAATGTGACTCTAATAAAGACTTTCAAACTAAATTCTCTAAAATTCAGCGCTAGGAACAACTTGTTAAAGAGAAAGTCACCAGTGAACTAAGAATGGAAAGCTACGTGACCTTGAGCCAATGCAGCTGATTCTCTAGGATAAGGTTTTCTTATCTGTAACATGGATGGGGGACAGTGTCTGCATCTAAAAAATTCCCTTTGAAAGGACCGCCTTTCCAAAATTCTGTGCACGACAGTAAAAGCTACTCTCTGGCATACAATCTTAGCTCCATGGTGGTTTTCTGCTTTTTTCACTTATGTCACTTTTTCTTTAAAATTACATTTTAACACATCTCTTATCGTTTTAGACTGGCAGGGGTGTCCAACCTTTTGGCGTCTCTGAGCCACGTTGGAAGAAGAGTTGTCTTGGGCCACACATTAAATATAGAAACACTAACAAAAACTGGTGAGGGAAAAAAAAAGATTTTAAGTAAATTTACGATTTTGTGTTGGGCCGCACTCACAGCCCTCCTGGGTTGCAGGCCGTCGGTTGGACACCCCGATAGAGTATCTACTCAATAGCAAGCCATTTCAGCTGGCAGATTAATGAGGTCAAGTCTAAACGCCTATTAAATTTTTTAAAGAACGTGAGGCATCCCTTTTTTGCAAAGCCCAAGAACCAATAGTTAACGAGCACCAACCCACTCAAATATTGCCCTATTGAAAGCTGGTAAAATTCTAATCAGTTCATTCCCTAACTGTACTTCACAGATAATAACAAGGACATTCACATGGAATGATCTCTAACAAGTCGCAACCTGCTGATGAAAACTTGCTGGACCAGAGGAACAGCTGCAGCGAAAAGTGGCCAAAGGCAAAGAGCAAGAGGAAGAGTGTAAATGATCGCCACCCGGATCCGGCAAGACTGGATGCACGGGAGACGCCGGGCAGGCACGTCACAGGCCAGGAGGTAGGAACTGGAAGCCAGGACAAGGTTTCCGGTTTACAGTACGCCGTGTTTACACGCCCTCCCACCCTGACAGCCCAGACCCTCACGAAACCCCGGTGGCCTCCACCTGGCCGGCTGCGCCCCTATACCGCAGGTCGACTGGGGTTCAGAGCAGAAGCGAGAACGGGCAGAACCTGCTGACAGATTCCTAGGCCCCGGCCTCGGCGACCACCGCCCGCAGCCCCCAGCCGCCGCTCACGCCCACCCTCACGCCGGGAATCTGAGGCCTCACTGGCCGCCACCGCCGCCACAGCCAGACTGAGGGGCTGCGGCTTCGGAAAAGCAGGCCGGTCACCAGTGTCCCCGCCCGCCTGCCTGCCACCCCGGCCCAACCTCCTCTCAGGGACGGCCAACTTCCAGGGTCGGCGCGGCTCGACACCAAGAGTCCCCCCCGCAGAAAAAGTGGAAGGACGGTACCTGAGCCTTGGTGCCCGGCCTGTTCCGCCTCAGCACAGCCGTCCCCTCCGCCATGACCATAGTGCCAAAGTCTGGGCGGCTGGAGTCAGTACCCGGATGTAGGGGACGTCTGCCTGCGCGGGAGGCGGGGCGGAGCGGCGCCCTTAGGCTGGGCGCTGGGGAGGGGCGGCATCTAACAGAACAGCCGTACTGCGCGCGGGGCAGGGCGGGAGGCGAGGTGGTGTTCCGGAAAGAACCAATTGGGAGGAAGGGGGTTAAGAAAAGAACGCCCGACGACTAACGGGTGGCGCCTTGGAGGAAAAGAAGAAACCCGATTGTGGGCACTTACAAGGGCTTCGGGAGAGTTCGCAGGCGGGTGCAGAGGGCTGTTGCGGGCGCGTGCCGGCTCTGCGTGTATCTCCTTGGGTTTACTTTAGTTACTTTAGGAGGACCGAGCTTGCCCAACGGCGACTGTCTAAGTAAACCCTTGCCCAAGCCCATACACCTCGGAAGCGAAGTGGAAAACAGTCTGGGAAAATTCCAAGGACCATGCATGAAATCGACCCAATCTCAAATCAGACTTGAGTGTCAAATGATATTACCACCATCCGCTGATTTCAAAGCCAAGGACCTTTTCTTTTTTTTGTTCTTTTTTTTTTTTTTATTTTTTTTTTAATTAATTCAAGGACCTTTTCAATGGCAAATTTGTTTAAGATAAAAGACCAAGACGTCAATCATCCGAGATAGAGCGGACATCTGGTACTGTGCGTTAGACAAAATTAGCTCGTATATTTTGCAAGTCAGAAGGCAGGAGGAGAAAATGAACGCCCCTTGATGGGTGGTGGGAGTTGTACATCTTACAAGATTTTTCACATTTCTTTTATTGCAACTTTTAAATGTCCTCTTCAGTCATGAAATCATGGCAGTTGTGGCAAATTTATTTGTTTGTTGTTTTTTTTTTCTCCTTAGAAACCTTAAATCTTTGATCTGGGATGAGCTGAGGATACCAGAAGGGAAAACAGTTCAAAGGATGAAGGGTGTATACAATAGGGTGATTTCCAAGAAAAGAAAACATCACATATGCCATCAAATACACCTAAAGGTGTATTGAGAATACTGAGAACTGTCGCAGATATCAACCAAACATGTAAGTGAGGAGTGGAGGAGAGGTTAGTTAAACTGAGTGGGTGCAAAACTGAATAATTGTCAGATACTTGGAACTTTGCCCAAAGGGGGTTTTTAACAATAGAAAGTTGGTTTACATTAAGTATGATTCCTTCTTTCTGGAAGATGTATAGACTGGTTACTTTTCAAGAGGAAAGACAATTTTTAATTTCATTACTGTCTTGTAAATACAAATGGTTTATTCACTTAACAAATACTTACTAAACTCCACTATGTGTTCAGCATGGAAGTTGGAGAATAAAAAGGCACAGTCCTTAACCATAAATTGCTTGGTGTCTAGCCATCAAGATACACAAACCACCAATTCTCCCTCTAAATACAGGGATAGTCTAAGACAAGTGGCACCCAAATATTGCCTCCCTAAAAGAGACATGGGGTGGGTGTGGAGAGCAGAGTCCTAAGTAGGCCTCTCAGTCTGTGGACAACCCCGCCTCCAAGGATTAAGTTTAAATTTCCCATATTGTGTGCACCTGAGCTGTAAATATGAGTTACCTGTAGTTGAAGTGGCTCCCCTTAGTATTTTCTTAAGTCAGATTTGTTATACTGTTTCGGCACATCGGAAAAGAACAAGAGAAAAAGGAAATAATAGGTTTTAAATTCAGAAACAAAGTACACATTCATTTCTTTGAAAGTCCAGTAAAATTGCATTGTGGCCAAATATATGGTGATGGAAGATGATTTGACTATAGGTGGTGAGTACACAATGAAACACCCAAGTATTGTACACGTCGAACCTATTAACCAATGTCACTCCAAAAAATTCAGTTTTTAAAAAAAGTTGCGTTATGATGTCAACTCTGGCCTTGCTCAGAGGAATAACCTTGTTCTTGAGGGCTGAAATGTTTCTAGCTCATAACCTTCACATTTGAATTCTTCCGTCAGTCTGCAGATTATGACCTTTAAACAAAAATAATTTTATAACCAGGGTTAATTTGGAGGGAGGAGAAGAAAAGGGGGGGGAAATGTGGTCAGTAATAACAGTTACATATAATAATGGGTTACTAGGATATTTTGGTTAAAGAAGGAGTAGTCTTAAAGGTCATATAGACAAATGGAAATAACTCTGGGCTGGGATTCAGAAAATCTAGATTCTCTTGCCTGTTGACTATGAGACTTTGATCAAGCTACCAAATAAGCTTATTTGTAATGAAAATAGTGCACAGCAGTTCTTTTCCTCTACCTCAAAGAGCATTAAAGCAAATGTAAAAGTAAATATTACTGGAAGTCTCTTAAATTTTTAGAAGAAAATATTTTATAAATCCAAAGTATCATAAGTAATTTCAAAATATCTATCCAATATGAAATTCTCTTTGGGGAATTTTCAAATTCAAGTAAAATAGTGAATGCCCATTATGTTTATTTTTAAAGGCACTGAGCAGGTGTTGAGAAACTGAATAAGTAAACCTCCTTTCCTCAAAGAGCTTAAAAATGAATAGAAAGAGGGATATGTTCACTACTGTTCCACAAAGCAAAGTGTCTGAAGCGTTGAAGCAGCTCCTGTTGGTTGCCTACTTGGCTATCCTTCCCCTTACACATGTTCTTTACAACTAAACTTTGATCTTGCTCAGTATCCATCTTTCCCTACATGGCCAGGGATTAGTAAATCCATCTTTAGCTGAAGTATTAATCCCTATTGTTCTAAGCCAGTGATTTTCAACCTTTTTAATCTCACGGCACACATAACTAAGTACTAAAATTCTGCACCACACCAAAAAATATGTTTTTGCTGGTCTGACCAAAAAATAGGTATAATTTTGATTCATTAACATTGGATGGCTATGAGTTGACTGTTGTCATTTTTTTATGTGACAGTCTAAGCAAGGGTGTCTGCATGCAGCCCAGGATGGCTATGAATGCAGCCCAACACAAAATCATAAATATACTTAAAACCTTTTTTTGCTCATCAGTTTTCATTAGTGTTTGTGTATTTAATGTGTGGTCCAAGACAACTCTTCTTCCAGGGTGGCCCAGAGATGCCAAAAGGTTAGGCACACCTGTGGGAAAGGAGTTCAGAGTCCCTGACTAGTCAGGTGTTGCATGTTTGTTTTTTTTTTATTGCTGTTGTTTTTTTGTTAATTCTCACCACAGATGTTTATTGATTTAAAGAGAGGAAAGGGGGCAGGGAAAGAGAAAGAGGGAAACATCCATCAGTTGCCTCCCATACGCACCTCAACCGCTGGGTCAAACCATAACCTAGGTATGTGCCCTGACCAAGAATTAAACCCTCAACCTTTCGGTGTACAGAATGACCCTCCAATGTGCCTCCTGTGGCATTCGAGTTGAAAAATCACTGGTCTAAGGCAATGTTTAGTTAAAGAATGACCATATTCCTGGCTGGATAGCTCAGTTGGTTAGAGCATTGTCCTGATATGCCAAGATTGCAGGTTTGATCCCTAGTCAAGGCACGTACAAGAAACAACCAATGAATGCATAAATAAGTGGAACAACAAATTGATGTTTCTCTCTCTCTCCCCTTCTCTCTCTAAAATCAATTAAAAAAAAAAAGATTAAACATGTGACTCCAGTTTAGCCTAAAGAGATATGAAAGGGTATCTAATTGAGCACTCGGGAAAGGTTTTCTTCCTCTTGAGGAAATACCAAAAGAGGTGGTCCCTTTTTTCTAACACTGAACAGTGGCAAGTCTGGGATTCCATCAACCGTCTTCGCTTGAAGGAAGCCAACATAAGAGAAAAACGACACTGTAAATGATGTGTGAAGTAGTTGAAATGTGCCTTAAAGTATGGGTAGCATTTATATGAGGAAATGCAGGGCATTTCATTCCAGGCCAAGCAAAGTTGAAGTATCAGGGAAGCATGGAGATCATGTTTAGTTGAAAAAATTAGTGCCTATACCTGGTTTTATACACATTCAACGTATTTGAAAATTACTTTCTCTTTATGAGAGTTGTTATAGATAAAATTATTTGGATTTATAAAGAGCTGAAACTTAGACAACTTTAACTACAGATGACTGAAATGTTAAATTCCCATGGCGCTTCTTTTTTTCCCTCTAGCATTCTAGAATATTTGATCAAATTGGTGATTATGGTAACCAGCCACCAAGATGGGCCTCAATGGTTATTACTTTCTGGTATTTACACCTTTGCATAGTTCTCCCCCACACTGAATTAGACTGACCTGTATAACCAATAGGATACTGTGAAAATGGTGTGTGACTTCTAATGTTAGGTCATAAAAGACATCATGGCTTCTGCCTTGCTCTCTTACTTCACCTGCCCTGGGTGAGAAAGGTACCATGTGTGAGAACAGTCATATGCATGCTATAAGGGGCACACATGTTGGAGAACTAAGGCTCCCACCAAAAACAAGCATCAACTTGCCAGCATATTAGTGAACCATTCTGGAAGTTCAACCTCTGATCCCAACCAAGCCTTCAGATGATGGCACCCTCATGAGAGACCCCTCAAATAGGACCACCCAAATAAGCTGCTCCCAAATTTCCAACTTATATATACTGTGAGATATGTATTGTGTTAAGCCACTAAGTTTGGGGGGATTTGTTATGCACCAATAGATAACGAATACAGCATTCTTGAACTGTCAAGAAGGGAAGATGTGATCAGTAGAGAACTCATAATAGACTATTATAATTTCCTTTTTTCAATAGGGCACCTAATGTCTCTCATAAAGATAGCAACATTTTTTATCTTTATTTTCTTGACACTAAGCATGCTATTAATTTAGTTGTTTACTTCTGTCTCCTGCCACTTTATGCATCCCTGTATCTCCAGTACCTGGAAGAGTGCCTGGCACATGTTCAAAAAAATGAATGACTTAAAAATACCACAATGAACTGGCCTTTTTGAACTCATACTCAGGCCAGGTAAGTACCCATTAATAATTTTTCCAAGGCTCCAGGCTAAATAAGACTGAAAGAGCATTTTGCAAGAGTTGGACTAAAGAACTAGGCTTAATCTCTAAGAAGGGAGTGGAGGGGGGAAGGTTAGATACAT